CTGGCTCACCCTGTTCTCTGGCTGCAGCACCACGGTCTTCCCTGGGCTCTCTTTGGGAGATGCGGCAAAGAGCTGGCCGTTCTCCTTGGGGACGTCCCCTGCTGCGGCCACTGCATTGCGGTTGAGCTCTGGAGGTGCCGGTTTCACACCCCGCGGCAGGTGCTTGCTCTGAAGTTCATTTGCCGTGCCAGGTGGGAAAGACGCTGGCAAAGATGCCTTCCTACTCTCCAGCTGCTCGCCAGCCGGCTCCCTCAGCCTCTGCTTTAACGGAGAAGGTGCCGCATGGTCCAGAGCGGTGGTCCCACCAGAAGGCAAGCACGCTTGCTTGGAGCTCTTCAGGTTCACGACGTTACCGTGAGCCACCACGCCCGCAGGTTGCCTGACACACATGCTTCCATGCCTCAAGATCCCTTTGGTGGGATCGGTGTTGAGACTCGTCCTCGGCTTGTTAGTCCTTACCGCATGGGTCTTTTTCTGAACCAGGCTTAAGATATAACCGTCTATCCTCTTGCTGGTGGAAGGGCATGGCGCTGGCCAGGAGCTTTGCGGGAGAAAAGCGTTGGCAGATTTTCCAGACTCCGTCTCGGATCCGGCACAAACATCGCTAATATCGCAACCAAGCCTCTCCTCTTCTCGCTGGGGGTTTTCAGTAACGGGGAGAAGAAACATGGGACTCTGCACAGCTACCGCATGGAGTGGGCTGGGGTACCGGTAGACATCGTTCCCGTTTTTAGACACCAGATCGCACTGGTACTTTGGATGGACATCTGCAACGACATCGAGGGAATTTGAGTGCGGTGTGGACAAAGAGCGACAGACAGAGCCTGCGGTCTGGTCCTCATGCTGGCCTTCCTTATTATAGTCCATCCAGCCTATGAGATCTGAAAGGCATTTTAAAATAGTTTAGAGAGCCTGCCAGGGACAGTTCTGCTACGTTTTTCACAAGCCATCAAGGACTCCGGTCTCATCGACACATACGATGCAATGTTGATACAACAGCAGCACTGCTCAAGCAGCAGAAACCTTGCAATCAGGGATGGCACTTAAGCGATATAAAAGCAGCACTATCCTTCTGTGGGTCTCTCTGTAACTGTATCTACATAGGATTTGGCCCAATATGACTACATGCTTAAAAAATTAAAATTACAACCCTAAAGAGAACATTTACTTTGGTTTCAAACCTGTGCCTAGGCTGCTAAGAGCTTCCTATTTTACTTCCAAGCCACTCGGAAGTCTGCTTATATGCTACATCGGCACCTCTAAAACTCACTGCGTGCCTCAGTATATATTAATTTTATATTTTATTTTGCTAGATCCAAAGGGAACCATAAAAAATACAGACAAGAGTCCAATGAATTCTTTCAGCTTATTGACAAATTACTCTTGCAGATTTTTTCAAGCTTATCTTGGGTCAAAAAACCCTAGATTTAAAGTCTGCTTATATGCTACATCGGCACCTCTAAAACTCACTGCGGGCCTCAGTATATATTAATTTTATATTTTATTTTGCTAGATCCAAAGGGAACCATAAAAAATACAGACAAGAGTCCAATGAATTCTTTCAGCTTATTGACAAATTACTCTTGCAGATTTTTTCAAGCTTATCTTGGGTCAAAAAACCCTAGATTTAATTTTGTTGTTGTTATTATTATCATTACTACTATTATTATAATCATAATTATCTTATAATTATAATAATGCTAATAACAGATGCTACTTTTGAGCAATAAAGTGTTAAAGAATGGGAAACAAGCTCATCTTTCCACACAAGTAGGAGTGCAGGTCAATCCAGCTGACATCCTAGCCTTGGCTCTGCAAAGTGAGTTCTGTAAGAGAAATCCAGTGCGTTTCAAGATGCGTGAGTCATATTTAATGGCTAAGGCACTTATTTAGGAGGTAAGCAACCCTAGGAGCAGGTCTTCAATCCAAACACCCAATTATTATTTTCTTAAGCTTATGCTGCCCTTGTCTGCTTGGGTAGGGGTACAATCTAAATGATCCTACCAGATCACTGTCAGTCCTGTTTCCTACCCTTGGGCTAGAAACTTCAGGCAGGGTACTCAACCTGGAATGCTCAGTGCTCATCACTTATCTAAGGCTTATTTCAAAAGAGGTCTTACAGACGTTGATGAAATTAGCTGATAGAGATGGC